TATTTGTTGACTGAAAACTACAACCTGTTTGAGAACAATGAAAATTACACTAATGTGGGACCAATTGAGATTGCAACCTGGGAAGACCTTCAGACCATCTTGGAAATGTGCTAGTGGTCTCTCAGAATGGCAACAGTGTAGCTTTCTATCAAAAAGGTAGTTGGAAAGTACATTTTTTAGTCAGGAATTGTGATGAGTGCTGGCACATAGCTGTTTTATAATGAAGGGAGAGGGTGCAGTCTCAATCTTGGGGTGCGTAGGTGAAGGGGTCCCTTGTACAGATGGTTATGATGTTATAGGAAGCTGCCTTTGCTGCTACCCAGAAGTCAGCGTGTGTGGGGGTGGAGGGAGGCTGTGTTTCCACAATTCAGGACAGAGGTTCTCCTGTGAACCTGTCTCCTGTGGGGTTTAAGTGTGCCTTCCAGCTTACTTTAAATGTTTCAAACCAGTGAAACATTTTGATTTTCTTTGATTTTCTTCCTCGACATGTTAAATATTACTTTTAAGTACAAATTTTCATAAAATGATATTGTACTTCTAGATAGTATGTAGTGCCATGTAGCTAACATTTGAAGAGCATTCCTGTATTTCATATTTTTGTATGTCTGATTTAATCACTAAAGATACTATGAAATGTGTGCTATTATCATGTTCAGGTTTAGGGAGATTAGTTAGCTTAAGTTGACATTACTAATGAGCGGTGGCAGTCATTTGAATCCAGCTCTTGATTGTAGAATTCAGATCTTACACCATTCTGACTGTCTGGTTTCCATTTATTCAGAAGCAGAGGGTGAGAAAGTTCAAGAAATTTACAAGTGTCACATAGTTAGCTAAAATTATTGATAGTACAAAGATGCAAATATTCATGGTTATTCTTTTAGGGCTTTTCCAATTTACCATGAGGGCATTATTAATTGAGTAAACTGCTATGCAGTTCAGCCTGGCCTTGAACTCACTTTGTAGCCCAGGTGAGTCTTGAACTTGTAGCAGTCCTCCTGCCTCAGCCTTCTGAGTGCTGGGATTATACACCTGCACCACCACACCCAGCTTGGACTACATTGTTATCACTGGACTCCCAGAGACATCTGGAAACCGACCTTGTTCTAGTTCTGCAGCACACAGTTCAGGGAGCATTTGTGCCAGGTTGTTAATTAGCCTAACAAAGCTGAGGGTCGGGTTGAGTTGGAGATGTAGCTTACTACAGTGCTTTGCAAGTACAAAGGCCTGAGTTCAATTCCCAGGACAAGAAATGTAAAAAATGAAAAAAAAAAAAAAAAAAAAAATGAAAGTAAATAAGCTGATAAATGATCGGAAGAGCACACGTCTGAACTCCAGTCACGCCGCAACATCTCGTATGCCGTATTCAAAAAAAAAAAAAAAAAAAAAAAAAAAGCTGGAGTGATGAGTGAGAACTGTGTCTATTCCCTAGTGCCCTGCAGTTCTCTGTAATCAAATTGCATGCAGCGTAGTCCTGAGGCTGAGGCTCACTTGGCTCAGAAGAGAGCTCATTGACATCTACCTGGCTGGGGCCGTGTCTCATTCTTTCACTCTTAGTATCTGCTGCTGTGTGGGCTGGGTCCCTTTCAAGAGACTTAGAAGTACATCTGCCTGTCATTGGTAAAGTTCTGGGACTCCCTGCTTTGTGTCTTGGTGGCATTGATTTCCTTCCCCATCCTTCAGACAACATGTGCAGACAATTCATCCTAACTTATTCATGGACATAAAATCAATTTTGTGAAATGCAAGCATCATTAAAGAAACAGGCTAGGGTAGAAGAGTGTCTGATTACCACTTTACAAAGGGTAAGGGGCTTTACTGAGAAAGAATAATGTATGATATTGTTAGTTTCAGAATTTGTAAGGCACTATTTTTAGATAAATAAGCCTGATAAATCTGCATAGTCTTTGTCAGCCTGAACTACAACTGACTTACTAATACAGTGATAAAATTTACATTTTGAATAGTTTATGTGCTATATTTCATTATATTTTTTATTCAGATTTTTCAAGTAGTTAAGAATTTCTGATGTTATGGCTCAGCAGTAAAGAGCTTTGAGTCCCTGGATATACTACTCCAAGAGGCAGGTTGTTTAATTCTAATCCAAGGCCAGTGGTACTGACCTTTGCCTAATGTGCTTAAACCAGGATGGGCAGGGCCTCACAGTGGAATTCTGCCATTTCCCCCTTTCTGGGTATGTCTGTCTGAGTCCTCCCTCCTGAGCAACAAGGCTTCTCACTCTTCAGAGTGATTCTGTGCCTCCTCCTTTTGGTGCCACTCACCTTGCTGTTCTGGGTGGCTTCTAGCCTTCCTTCCACTGCGAATGAGTCCATGTCTTCCACATTTTTTGTGACCCGCATGTCTTCCTTCTTCATGTGACACCGGACACTACTCCATTTGCATTTTAGCAGAGAGCCTCTGAGTTTAGGATTATAGATAGAAATGACAATCCTTGCCATCTAGGAAGAGGACAGACTAACCTGAGAGAGCCAGAGAAGATTCACTAAGCTGTGCTGTGTGATAGACTAAACTGGATGGAGATGAGATAGGTACAGTGAAGCAACAGAGAGGGGATAAATTCTCTGCCAAAAAACCAAAACAAAACTAATCAGGAAGAAGCTCACACCCTCGACAGAAAGAATAAAGACTGGGGCTGGCTAATTGTTGACATGTTGGAACTAGCTGAGTGGTTGTTCCTGGTCCTGATTGTCACTCAGTTCATCCTTGGGAATCTGGTGAATGGTTTCCTTGGGTTGGTCAATGGCAGAAGCTGGTTCAAGAGCAAGAGAATCTCTTCGTCTGACTTTCTTATCACCAACCTGGCTCTCTCCAGGATCATTTTACTGTGGGTTATCTTCATTGATGGTGTTATTCTAATTTTCTTTTCCGACATGCATGGTTCAGGGGTATTAATGCAAGTTACTGATGTTTTCTGGATGTTTGTAAACCACCTGAGCATTTCATTTGTCACCTGTCTTGGTGTCCTCTATTGCCTTAAAATTGCCAACTTTTCCCACCCCATATTTCTCTGGCTCAAGTGGAGAGTTTCCAGGGTGATTGTATGGATGCTGTTGGGTGGACTGCTCCTATCCTGTGCCTCTTCTGTATCTCTGATCAATGAATTTAACTTGTATTTTGCCTTCAGTGGAATTGACAGCACAGGAAACATGACTGAGTACCTCAGAAAGAAGAGACTCGAATATGATTGGCTGCATGTTCTTGGGAATCTGTGGCATCTCCTTCCCTTAACTGTGTCCCTGATCACCTACTTTCTGCTCCTCTTCTCTTTGGGGAGGCACACTCGACAGATGCAGCGAAATAACATCAACTGCAGAGACCAAAGCACTGAGGCTCACAGAAGGGCCATTGGAGTCATCATCTCCTTCTTCTTCTTCTTTCTACTTTACTTTATTTCCTTTGTAATTTTGTCATTAGGCCGTTTTCTATCACACTCTAAGATGTCGGTGATGATTGGCGAGGGAATTACATTGTTGTACCTTGGTAGTCACTCATCTTTTCTCATTCTGGGCAACGCAAAACTGAAGCAGGCATTTTTGGCGATCTTCCTGTGTAAGTCTGGTCACCTGCAGCCTGGGTCTTCAGGGTCCTTTTCCTCATAGATAGCAGAGGGCATCAGAAGGAGCCTGGGTGTCCTTTGGTCTGGCTCAAGACTAAGGGCTCTTGCTGATCCTCTCATGGTACCAGCTCTGTCCCATCGGTAGCAGAGAGACACTGCCTCCTTCATCGCTGGTCCTACCAAGTCCTACATGAAAGCACCATTTTGCGTGACCTCTCTCTAAAGCATTGTTTTAGAGTAGTAAAATAGGCTTGGGAAATGTCACTGTAGTAGCAATGCTCACAGTATAGAGCTGGAGCTGCATTTTAACCACCATCAGCTGAACATAGTGAATCTGAGTATTAGTTTCAACTTAAATTTAATGCTGGTTGTAAATAAAATAGAGTCATGGACTTTTGGGAAAACCCAAAAGCTTTGCAGTTCTATAAGTGTACATTTAAATTCTGGAGATTGTCAATTTTTAATTATTTTTAGCCTTAAATGAGTTACTTTTTCTGATGCTGTCTTTTCTTAACTTTAAGTGTGAACTATAACATTAACTTTGTAGCACAGTAGAAATTCACAAGACAATAGGTGCCAGCATTTCAGCACAGTGTGTTGTGTAAAGCATGGAATTGAGTGAAAGCTGTTATTTCAACAAACAGTGGTTATGCAGCAACAGCAATTCCCACAATGTGTGTATCTGCACAAAACAGTTATTGACTGAAGAAAGCAGTGGGATGAGGATGAAAACCCTTGCATTTCATTGTCATTTTATTTGTTTGTTTTTTGCAGTACCGGGGATTGAACTCAGGACCTTGTGCTTGCCAGGCAAGTGCTTATTTTACTGAGCTATCTTCCCAGCCCTTCATTGTCATTTTATTAATGTAAATTTCCAAGTAATTTTTTATTTCTTAGATTGGACAAAAGACCAAGTATACTTGCCTGTACTCTTATCTCTCCTCCCTCCTTTCTTTCTACCAAGATGCATATCTGTTTTTAAAATTACAGTTGTGTCACCTATCTATGCAGTTTGTAGTTTAATGAATACTATTTAAATAGAAATATATAGGAATTGTTTTGCTTCCTGTCATTGTACAATTTTGACAAGTCAATGAGAATATCATTTATATGAAGAGATCTCAATCTTTTGAACACATTCAGTGTGACAGATGGTATTTTTGAATGTGAATTTCTAGCACTAACTGGACTTTCAGCTGCAATGGTAAACCTTTTAGAGCTTTTAATGATAACAAACATCTGGCTATGGCATGTGTACCTTAGGTCCACCACCACTGCTTTAAGGTGTCGAGAGTGTAAGTGAGAATGTGAAAGCCAGCCAGTCTAGGTTCGGAATCCTGACCCTGGTCTTGGGCTTTATGAGCTGCATGATCTTGAGGAAGGTCTTAACATGACTGGATTTTGCTTTCCTTGTTTGTAAAATGGAAATAATACTTGTATAAGGGTATTGGAAGGGATGGTTGAGTTAACTCATGAATAATGCTTATTATTGGAGTAAACAATAAATGTTGCAGCTATTGGTTTTTTTTTTGTTCTATGAAGGGAGATATATTTTGACCTAGTATGAAGGATCATCATATTATTGGACATTTAGTCATATGTAACCAGATTTATTTTAGTATTTGTTTTAGGATATAAACATTCATTTTTAGGGGCCGGGGGGATGGCTCAGTGGAATAAGCGTTTCCCTGGCAAGTGCAAGGGCCTGAGTTCAATCCCTGGTTTCAAAAAAAAAAAACAAAATTCATTTTTAAAATGGCAGAAGTGCTTGGGAGGCTGAAAACAGGAGGATCACTATGAGTCCCATTTGTGTAGTGAGACCCTATAAACCCTGTACTAAATACATAAAAAAGAAATACAAAAATAAAATTACAGGAATAGAAAAATGTTTTTGGTTTCAATATTTAGTTGGCTTTTAAGTTGATGCCTGCTTCTTGAAGCTGCTAGGAAAATTCATAATTTTTACTCAACCTGAAATTCACTTTAGAAAAAATACTGTTAAAAACTAAAGAGTAATTAAGATTTATTCATAATTCAAAAATAAAAAGAATCTTAGAACTGAGATTTCTCCCCATCTCATAGTTTCTGTAATTAATTAAGTTCTGTGATCTAAGAATGTGGCTTATGCTGTAATCCAAGCACTTGGGAGGCTGAAGCAGGAGGATTGCTTGCTGCAAGCGTGAGGCTAGCCTGGGCTACATAGCAAGACACTGTTTTTTCCTCCATAACTTTATTGAGAAACAAATAACTATGAGACAGTTTCAAATCAAATTGGTAGGACAGTTTCAATAATTAACACATTGCATACTTTCTTCCTAGTGGTTTTTTGCTGTACAAGATGCAGACATGATATCCTATTTACAAACACCATTAGAACAAATCCCTCTATTCATTAAGAGAATGTAACTATATATCTATCCTAACCATTTTGAATACACAACTACAAAATGGACATTCTTCTGTATCTCCTTTTTTGTTTAGTTCCATCATTTGAATATTATTGTGTTAACTCAGCAAAATATATTCCAAAAGAGTCCAGTAGTCCATAATAGTATTGGTTCTTCCGCTTCACTGGCAATGTCAGAAATTGTGGACCTGAGTCCCCTACAGCTCAACATAACAGCATGGCTTTACTTCTTCTACTTCGTTTTTATACTTTTCTGCTGGATGGTTAAGACCAAGGTAAAGCAAGACCTATACACCAAGATTGGTAACTTTTGAATCTGATAAGGCCAGTCAAATCCCCTCGGGATTTATTATGAGACCCTGTACCTCAGATTGTAGATCCTTTGTCAGTGTCAGTCATGTGGATGAGTCACAGCCAGTGCTTGGCCATTGTGCTCTCTGTGAAAGCCTGAGAGATGTTTTCTCTCCATGTGATTCTCCTTAGGCACACTCTACATCATCGATCACTTTCCTCTTTGTCCCCATAATCTCCTTGATCAGAAAATTTGGGACACTACCGAGTTACATGACGTTACAGTACAAGTTCTCATATGTCCTGAGTCTTAATTGACCTTGGAAGGTTAGGGCCAAAATGTTGGTTTTCCTTGTGGCCCTCCTTTTTTTCTAATTTTGGTCTGCAAACTTAGGTTGTTAACCATCCAGAAGACAAGCTTATTGTTATTACCATACAACCTAGGCTGTTAAGCTTAACCTCACTGTCTGAATATCAAACATCTTAGGCATAACATGGAAGAGGTATTTTTCATCAAGTATTGATATGTTAAACTATAAGTCCCTATAGAATATGATGAAAAAAACATTTAAAGAATTAAAATATATTTAAAAAATAGGCATAAAGAATTATATAATTCTTACGTTTACACGTAAGTCCAGAAATCTAACCATATACAACCTTGAAGCAGGACAGTCCCGCAAAACATTCCATTTCCTATCTCCTGCCTTCATTCACCACCCCCACTTTGAACAATCATCTACCTGAGAGACAGCACAGCAGCAACTGGCATGTCATGACAAGCAGCCCATATTCAGAAGATGAGAATGACAGGCACTCCAAGCATGAACCTACTATTACAAATTGCCATCTTCAGTGCAGTTGCTTAGTTCACAGGTGTCAGTATACATAGTCAAGGTGAGAATCCTTCCAATTAAAAAAATATGAAATGCTTCACGAATTTGCATGTCATCCTTGCACAGGGGCCATGCTAATCTTCTCTGTATTGTTTCAATTTTAGTATATGTGCTGCCGAAGCGAGCACAAGACTGTTTTAAAAGAAAAAATTCTGTACTTACTTTCATCATGGAAGTTTCACTGTGGAAATCCATGCTGTCTTGATTGGTACCTGCTTTGACCACCTGTTTTGTCTTTCAGCCTTACCCATTCTGGAACTTGTTCCTATATTTTATTATTTTGACAGTTTCTCTATCTCTGACCTTATGGTTCTTTAAACCTAAACTGACCTCCCAATTTTGCCTAATGGTTTAAGGGTTAGGATTTTCCTCTTTAATCAAGCATAGCACCTCACTAGAGTTTTGGTTTAACTGGTCACTGGTTGTCTGCTATTCATTTCACTGGCTTCTGAAGTGTGAGTGGAAGGTGCAGAATTCCCTTCAAGGGAGTTTGATGTGAAAACCCACTTGATCTTATAGAGGAAACAGATCATACCTACTTCGCTCCAGACTCCCACTTTCAGATAAGTTTGGAGTTCACTACTGAGAAATATAATCATATAATTACCTGACTTCAGGAATATGTGGACTGAAGTTAGGGTGAGAGTGGGAATTGGGCTTTGGGTGGTGGATGAGTTGCTGAGGCAAGAAGTCTTTTCTATTGCTAGAGGCATAATATTGGAACTATAGCTATTTTGGAGAGGATCTGGTATTTAAATCAATCAGTGAAGTCTAATTTACAAGCTCCTCACTGATCCCAGAGAAGATCATGTCTTTTGCCCAGTTTTTAGAAGTCTTAACAGACCTATCTTTACTTCCAATTAATTGGCTTCCATTTGTAAAACCCTTAAGATTTTTTTCTTTCCTCAATACTGGCCATTGAACCCAGAGCCTTTCCCCTGAGCTACATTAACCAGACCTGTTTATTCTTTTGTTTTTAGACAGGATCTCAGTAAGTTGTCCTTGTTGGACTAGAACCTGCGATTTTTCTGCATCAGCAACTCAAGTAGCTGGAATTACAAGCATTGTGCCACTATGCCAGGGTAAACCGTTAAATTTCTACCTTGAATCAAAGTATGAGTGTATGAATTGGCTAGACTTGGAGTTCAGTTGTATGCTAGGCCTTGTTCCTAAAAATTCATGTTCTCTCAAGACACATCTGTTCTTTGGCATATTGTTGAAGCTTTAACACCTGAATCACAGGAGCTCATGAGATCTTTTAGTTGTCCACCAGAATCCTAACTTCTTTTTATGACAGCTGTGAAAATATTCTTCTTGGATCTCTGTAGGGAGCATAATTGGCTGAGGGCTCTAGCTGGCCCCATTCACTATGAAGAGGCTACACTTCTGGTGTGTGTCTCGTAGCCAGTGATGGAGCACTGAGACATGAGACTGTTTCAATAGACACTT